CTGGGTTCGATTCCTCAGCACCGCATAAGCAGAAAAGGCCAGAAGTGGGGCTGTGGCTCCAAGCAGTAGAGCACTAGCCTTGAGCTGAAGAGTTGAGGGACAGCGCCCAGGCCCCGAGTTCGGGCCCCATAAGCAACAACAACAACAACAAAAACTCTGAATGTTTGGTGGGAGCAGGAAACAGGCCACACTGAAGAGCCCCCCTCCCTGAGCCTGTCACACTCCATCCCACAGGCCCTTGGGGGGGGGGGGACACAAGGGGAGGCGACAGAAGGATCTAGAGTGCGGGTAGGGGGAGCTGCAGTCCCACTGCATCTCTTGGTTGTGTAATGGCAGCCATGAGACCAGGGGATGAACTGCTGGGTTGGAGTTCCGTAGGCATGGCTGCATAGTATTCCGTGTTCCATCACAGGATGTTGTGCGGTTCCCTAACTGGCCTCTGTGTCCAAAAGCCAAGCAATGGGGGGGGGGGTGCCTGGTCCCCGTCACCTTCCTCTATGCCCCCTGACAATTCTCCATCACCAGTCCGGTGAACCCTGGTGGACTGATGGTGGGCAAGGCCACCGAATGGGAGCAGAGGGGTGGAGCTGACGGCTCTCTTCCCATCCTCTCAAGGAAGCGGGGAGGGGGCTCTAGCCCCAAGCTCTCCGCAAGCTTTCCCCTCACAGGGTGGATGAGGATGGTGATCATGGGTGATGATGGTGCTCATGGAGTGTGTGTGTGTGTGTGTGTGTGCAAGCCAATCCTGGGGCTTGAACTCACAGCCTGGGCGCTGTCCCTGAGCTTTTGTGCCCAAGGCTGGCGCTCTACCACTTGGGCCACAGCGCCACTTCTGGTTTTCTGGTGGTTCATTGGAGATCAGAGTCTCCCGGGCGTTCCCCCCGGGGCTGGCTTTGAACCGCGATCCTCGGGTCTCAGCTCCCGCGTAGGTAGGATGACAGAACTTGGACTGAGCGGAGCCTGGAGCTGGAACCACAGAGCCAGCTGGGGGCTCGTCGTCCGGTCTCTGCTTCTTGTTTACCTCCCCCGACGGGCAGCTCTCTCCCACCCTGACCCCCCTCCCCGCACGCGCACGCACCATGCCCGCACCACCCGGCCCCACGCTCTAACAACCCCATCTCCCAGCCTGGGGAGACAAACGGTACCCCAAATCACCATCCAGGTGGACCCCCATGGCGGGGGGGGGGACAGGGGAGCG